CTGCTGAAGTCCATGGGACTTCTGCTTGCAAAGTCCTGCTTGCCAAGTACCATTGGCCTTTGCAAGAGAGACAAGGCTGCTTTGATATTTGCTGGAAAAGATCTAAGAGAAACCATTGTTTTCTTACAGCCTGCTTATTTCTCCTGCTTATTCACAGGAAAGACCTGGATGCATCACTTCAGCCTTTCCACCAGCAGCTCCCCTGGAAGGTGCCTTTCTAGGTGAAGAGCAGAGACAATAGCAGGGGGGATGCCAACCTGTGGAGGGATGACATAGTCTGCAACATCCCACAGCCTCTCCCCCAGCTCTGAGGTGTTGGTGAAGGCCACCCCTTTCAGCTTGGTGATGACAGAGCTCTGGAGTGATGTGTCTGTGTCCTGATAGCCTTTCTTGACAATGAACACCCACCTGTGGAGACACAGCAGGCAGCACTGTTAGCAAGGGGGGCAGGGAAGGAGTTAGCCTGAGAAGATTTACACCAAGGCCAAACACCATTTAAGGGCAAATCAGAACAAGCCAATGACACCAAACCCTCTGCAACTACTACTACAAATACAGAATAAACTCTTTGACACAAGCTGCATTTACCTACAGCACTGGAGAGTCAGGGCTGAGACCCGCAATGCAGGGAAAGGTGTAATAACAGGTCATGGGGTAAAACCCAAACCTTCCACCTCCTCATCCTGTGTTACACTCAGGAACCTCAGTGGAAGGAGGGGAGGGCAGTGCTCTGTTCTGCTCAAGATGAAAAATAACACAGGCTTTTGCAGGTTGGAGAAGAGAGCATGGCTGGTCCCACAAACACGTGCCTTGCTCCCAGAGGCTGCCAGTCCAGCAATGGCTGGGGAGTCCCCATGGCTGTTCCCATGGCTGGGGAGATGCAGCTCCTGCAAGTGAGCTGAATAGCACTAACACAAACCTGTAGGGAACATTCTCTACTGGATAAAGGATGTTTTGTAAGCCAGTGTGATGGTAACAACCTGAGTGCACCCTGGCTGGGCTTCAGGCTTCTCGTTGGCACAGCTGGAATTGCTGCTTCCTCACCAAGAGGTCCAGGGAAGGGTTTTGCTTACTTCTCCCCCTGGGAATCAGCAAGAGCTCCATATCACTGGGTGAAAACATCTCTGAGTTAAAGAAAATGCCTCCAGCTTCTCCACAATACAAAGTCACCTGCCAAGGCAACAAATCACCCAGTTCCTTGAAGAAGCCAAAGGTGCTGAGGCAGTTGAGGGGAATGGGATGCAGGCAGCAGGTGCTGGCCCAGCTCCCCTTTGCAGTGCACTGGCCTGGAGAGCATCACTGCAGGCAGAAGGGAGCAGCCATCTCAGGCTGAGCAGCACTGACACATTCTGCCCTTGACCTGTTACTTGTCACAAACCTGAATAACAAAATTGCCCACCTCTGTGAAGCTTCCTGTTTTCCCAGTAACACTGTTCCTCTCTCCCAGGAGGGCTCAGAGCAGCCCTGTACAGGTTCAG